CTTGGACTCCCCACGGCAGGCTGGCAAGAAGCAGGGCAGCCCTGAGCATGCCCGCCCCATCCAGGCCCCGCCTTCCTAACACCATGGCTTCTCCTGAGGGACCGGGCGCCCAGGTCCTCTGCGGCTTAGCAGAGCTCGCCATCTTGGGTCGTTGGCTGGTTCTGAGAAGGGTCCATGAGTGAGGCCAGGTTCCCGACTGCCTTTCGGAATGGCAGAGCTCTGCCTGAGGAGAGAAGGGACAGAGAGGAAGCTGGTGAGGGACAAGGCAAGCCTGTGAGCCCAGGGCCTCTGGGCGTGGCGGTAGGAGATCTGCAGGTGCACGCCTGAAAGCCTCAGGAGAGCCCCTTGCCTCCAGCCCAGGAACAGAAGGACAGTGCCTGGTGCTGCCCCTTGAGTGCCATCCGGCTGTCCCCCCGCGGCAGCCCAGCCGCCTCAAGTTTCCCATGTGCTGGTGGGGCCCCCTGCGTATATGCATTCCTGTCAGCCACGGACATCTGTCCATTTCCCTGGACAGCATGGGCATGTCGATTCCAGTGGGTTCAAGAGAGCCATTCCCAGGCCTGTCGCCACCAGCACCACAGAGGCCCTGCTTAATCCCCATGGGCTTCGAGACACAGTGCCGTCGGGGCTGCTGCCATGGCACACTGCATGCGACCCTGAAAGGCTGGCTGGGGATGAGGAGACCTGCCTGAGGGTGAAGGGCGCTGACGGGGCCGATCCGGGAGCCCTGAAGAGCAGGCCAGGGACTTGGAAGGCCTCGGGCAAGGGGCCAAGGTGGGCAGTGGGCAGTGGGCAGGTGAAGGCTGCAGAGGTTTCCATCTGCCACCAACATGCAGCTGGGAAAGGGGCTGGCATGGCTACCACGCCTGCCCGACCTGCTGCCAGTGGTGAGCAGGGGTCACATGTGCGAGACTGCTGGGAGTGCAGTCTCCCCCTCACACACGCACTCGCAGGGTCTCTTTCCCAGTAAGGGCCGGGTTGACCAGTGAGCTGTGTGCAGCGGCTTGCATTCGGCAAGCAGGCTGATGAGTGCGTTGACCTGCTCATGTGCGGTGACCAACTTCATGCGGCTTCCACCGCAAGCCACCACATCTTCGCCTGGCGCTGTGCACTGCGGGGGAGGGGGGCTGCCACTGGACCCACGCGCACCTTGTGTATTGGGTAAGCAGGCCTATGAGTGCGTTGGGTGGGGGTGCCTCATGGGGAAAGAATCGGTCTTCCTTCCTCCACTTCTCAATTTGGGCAGCTGCTACCTTATTGTCAAATCACCTGCTGGGACTGGGGCAACCAGGATGGGCAGGGCACTTCCCCATGGCTGCTTTTGGTTGCTTCTCAACTTGGGAGGAGTCACTGGCTTCTCTTGGGGTTCCTCCAGTCTTTGGCCCCCGCCCCCCACCCTGAGCCCGGGGACAGGGGAAAGTGGTGAGTGGAGGGCAGGTTAGGCAGAAGGCTGGTCCCTGGAAAAGCACCCCCCCATGACCTAGCCTCTACTGGTTTGGGAGCTTGGGGCATTGACCCTGGAGGCCCTGAGCGAGCCTTATGTCCCAACAGAGAAGAGGGCTGCGGGGAAACAGAGCCAGGCATGAGAAGCCAAGTGGCTTTCAAAGGAAGAGAGGAAAGCCCTCAGGTCCCCACCTTCCCGATACAGCAAGCGGCTTGAAGTCACTGCAAATCGGGTTCAGCGTGGATCCCAAACCGTTTCTGCTAAAAGGTCGATAGCGTGTGACCAGGCTGTGCCCCGGGGCAGGGTGTGGATCTGGACCCCAACGACTCTGTCCATGTGGGTTTTCAGTGCTGAGGGCTAGTTGGCAGTGAGGATCTCGGGGCTCCTCCCTACCTGGGAGTCCGGAAGTTGTCTCATTTCCACGAGCACTGCCGCTTCTCGCGGTATGCCACCAGGGAGGGAAGGACCACGCCGCCGCCCCACAACCCACGGGGCCGGAGCTGTCCGAGCGGCCCTGAGGGCAAGGGAACGGAACCCTCGCCCGACCCGTGGGACGCACGGCCACGCCAGGCCACGCGAATGCGCGGCGCCGGCCCTTCCCCGCCGGTGCCTGGCGGGGGAGCCAGAGCGCAGCGGGGCGGGCCACAGGCCACCTCCTGCCCGACCCTTCCCGGCCTGAGGCGCTCACCTGACGCGCCGCAGAGCTCGGCGTCCTTGCCTGCCCTGCCAGCCTGACGCTTGGGAGCTCGGCCCTACGGCCCCGCCCCCCGCGGCCCCGCCCCGGCAGCCCGGGTCCCGCCTACCTCGCCGCGACCGCTCCCCGCTGGGGCCGGGGTTGGGTTCCCACAGGATGTGACGTTTCTGGGAGCCGCTCGCGGGAGGCGAGGAGGGCGGGCCTTCCGGCCCAGGGAGAGAGGGAGGGAGGGGAGGAAAGGGGGAGGGGAGGAAAGGGGGAGGGGAGGGGAGGGAAGGAAAGGGGAGGGGAGGAAAGGGGGAGGGCGGGGGTCCTGGCGCCTTGCCACCTTGCGACCAGGCGCCTTGGGCTTTACTCTGGCGCCCAAGCCGGGTGCCTGAGCCCTTTTTGGGCACCTTGCTCCGGGAAGGAGCTCCAGAGGGCATTTCCAAGCCCTCTGCGACTTCGGGGGCCGGCAGGACACAGGGGCAGACATTAGCAAAGCTCGGGAGACTGGAGACAGCTA